TTATTTTTATTTTATGTGTATGAATGTATTGCCTGCATGTGTGTGAGTGCACCTGTATCATGCAATGCCTGTGAGGTCAGAAGAGAGTGCTGGATTTCCCTGGAACTAGAGTCATGGACAGTTGCTAGCTACCATATGGGTGCTGGAATCGAATCTGGATCCTCTGTAAGAGCAGCCAGTGTGCTTACCTGCTGAGCCATCTTTCTAGCCCCTGATTTCAAATATTCTTATTATCTCTTCTCCCTTTCCTCTTTTTTTGGAGAGGAAGTTCACACTCCTCCATGCAAGAATGCCAATCATTTTCATTTTATTTATATTTAAGGAGAAAGCAGGGGTGTTCACATATCGTCTTCTATGAAACATTTCCCATTTGGGGACATTTTACATTGTTAGCTGAAGGAAGCGTTGGAACTTTGTAAGAGTTGCCTGTCTTTGCTTTGACATACAGCTCTTTGGACATTAGAGGACTCTTGTACATTTTTCTCATACTTTGGTCCTCCTCTTCCCCAGGCTGTGGACAAGCTTCCCTCCGGCATTCATCAGATGGCTCTTCTGAAAACAATGGAAAGTACCTGGCAAACACAATAAAGGTGAGAGGTTGAGGGAGGTGGGTGCTTGGGACAACACTGAGATGGCCCAAATCGCTCCCCTTCAATCAGTGGCTCTCAGTGAAAACTCCCTGGACCAGTGGCATTAGCACTGCCTGGGGACTTAAGAAAATGCTCCTCCTCAAGTCCCATCCTAGACTTGCTAGATCAGACAGTCTAAGGTGGGTCCAGGGTTCTAACAAGGAGAATCTGATGCACACTCAAAATTAAGAGCTGACTTCTTTAAACCATTACCCAAGAAGGAGGAATTCTAAATTAGGAACCCATTCTGTGGCTACGAATTGCTCTCCAGTGCCCTAGTAATTAGTAGTACTCCCATGAAAGAAACAGCTAACTTCAGAGTGTTCTGAGTTAAAAATAACTCCTCTCTGTCACTTCCTCTCCAGTGCTAGGGATTGAACCTAGGGCCTTTCCTGTGCTAAGCAAAGGCTCTACCAATGAGCTATATTCCCAGCCTGTTCACTTGCTTCCTATATCCTGGACCAGAGCCAAATCTACAGCATCCTTTCCATTCAGTACCTGTTCCATTCAGTACTCTGTGCTACTCAGTTACAGGCTAGGAAATGGCTCTGCCCTTAACCTATTGTCTTCCAAAGAGCTTAGTTCTCCCAAGTTAAAGTTTTAGGTGTTTTTGTGTATGTGTGTGTGTGTGTGTGTGTGTGTGTGTGTGTGTTTTCACCAAACTGCACTCTGAAACAGAGATGGTGAATCCCTCACCCTCTGTTTGATTTCATTCCAGTCTTAGAAAACAGAGGGAGATGAACTCCGAAGGAAAATTTCTACATAATTAGTTGAGTTACTATGATTCAGAGAAGTTTCCAAATGGTTCAGCAGAATAGTTGGAAAGTCATAAGTCATATATATTCTGCTTTGTTCGCATTGTCTCCCACCCTTATCCAGTTTGTTCACAGTGCCATCAAGACACCACTAGACCAAAGATCCAATTCGTGGAAGTTTTAAATGGCTCCCATTTGAAGGTCTACTCTATGCAGAACAGCGGACAAAGGCATTGCATGTGTTCTCTCAATCTGCTTCTAATTTATTATGTTCTTAAGTTTTATCTTTCTTTTAAATATTGATAAGTTAGAGCTTACAGAAGTTAAAACGCTTGACCAAAGCCATGTTAGTACATCAGAATCAAAGTCAAGTCTTTCCATTTCCATCCTCTATGCTCTTAACCACCTGCTTTATTGATTTCATGACCACACAGAACTGTTTCAAATAAACTGGTTTTCTGTTCAGAAAGCACTAGATCATTCTAAAACTTATTCAGGGTTTTAATATGCCAAGAACAGATTCCTAATCTCTCTAACACCTAGAAACCTTGTCTGCCTAACAAACTATGCCATTTTCTTTGAGACCGAGCACATGAACATTTTCTTTATGAAGCCCTTTTACCATCACAAACTTGTGTCAGACACTTATTATTCACCACTGCTGTTTCTTTACTTGACTGTCTCTCCTACAAGTTACAGGCTTGTGAAAGGCAGGGTTGGCTTAATCAGTTGGAACCTAGGATACCACCAATAGGTTTACTTAGTTGTTTATTAAATCAAAGAATGAATTAATTACTTGTTGGATGAGTGGATGAATGAGTGCATGGATGAGGTGGATGAATGGATAAGTGGATGGACTGGGTTGGTGGGTAGTTAGATGCAGTGGATATGTGTGTTGAAGAGTGCATGGATGGACTATGGATGGATGGGATGGTGGAATGGATGGGGGATGGATGGATAAGTGGATAGACAGGGTGGGTAGGTAGATGGGGTGGATGTATGGGTTGATGGGTAAATGAATGAACTAGATGAGTTAGTGGGTGGATAGTTAGGAGGATGAAAAGAAGAAAAGGAGGGAAGGAGGGAAGGGAGGGGAGGGGAAGGGAAGGAGACACACAGAATTAACATCTCAGAAGGGAAGGGAAGGGAAGGGAAGGGAAGGGAAGGGAAGGGAAGGGAAGGGAAGAAAAGGGAAGGGAAGGGAAGGAGGGAGAGAGGGAGACAAGGAGAGGGCAAAGGAAGGGAGGGAATATAGAACAACAGGTTTCAAATGGAAGCAACAGCAGATACATGACCTTAATACCCATAAATCAAATGTCAGTTCTGCAAAACTAAAACCATTAATCTGTAAACACTGGCATTTGAGTTCATTGTCTGTTGCCTTCTCCAAGCCTTTCATACCTCCTACATGTTTACGCCTCCTACCTCCCACTTCCTCCTTTCCCTTCATTCCTCTCTCTCCCTCTTCTTTTTAAATACCAATACTATAGAACTGAAATCATACATGTCATATTTTCATTTTCTGTAATTTCAGATTCAGATATAAATGATGTTTCCTCATTCTTAATTTCAAAAATGGAACATTTTTGTAATGTCTAAAAATAAAACCCAAAACAAAAACACCCACAATTCTCTTCTTTGAATTTGCAGTGTACAGTAAGCTGATTTTTGTTTTCTTTTCTGTTTTTGGTGAGTCAGTAACCATCAAAAGGAAAAAAGCAAACTATCTACTGTTGTATAAACAATTAACATGATTTCAGACCCTCCTAAGTGCCAGTTAACTCTGTGTGTATGAAGATGATCTTATCTACATTTAGAAGAGACAACTGAGGTTCAGAGAGGTCAAGTGGCTGTCTCAGTGGTACCCAATAAACAAAAAGAGGTGAGATTCAAACACAGAACCCATGCTTTGTTCTGACACATGAAGTGAAAGAGGATCTACTAACAGAAGAGGAAAAGCTCCCGCTGACCACAGTCCCCAGGACCAAGGAGTATCTTTTCAGCAAGAGGCTTGCCAGGGTGTTGAAATCATGGGTGTAGAGCAGGCATGCTGACATTTCCTATGATTCAGCTTTGCCGTGTACTCTGCTCTTTACGAAATTAAACCACACAAGAAGAGGAAGCACTATGAGGCTGATAATTTCTGTTTCATATAAAACACATGAAAACCCATGGAATGACATAAATTTTTATCATAACTTCTAGTCACAGAAATGTTGAGTGTGAAAACCATGAATTTCGAATTCCAGAAACAAAACTTTCTTTGCTGGTTCTGGAGGCTTCTCGCTACTGTTTCACAACCTACACACTCCACATCTCCCCTCCCGAAGAGTCTGCCCTCCCCTCCTTCCCTTGTCTATACTGTGAACTCAATGGCACGTCAAAGGGAGAGGAGGGCTGGGCGAGAAGAACCAGAATGCAGAGCCTGCACGGGAGCCCTTCGTGAAACTCCAGATGGGCTTCTCTGCAGTCCTCTAGGCCTTGCTGCTGAGCAAGAGGGAGGAGGAGGAAAAGCGGCAGGATGTCATACCCGCTTGTGTTCTGAGAATCGCTGCTTGGCCACAGGCTTCTCTGGCTTGAACTAGCAGTGGGCAGGGTAGAAAGTGAACAGTAGAAAGTGCAGCCGCTGCAGTTACGGAAGTCCTCCAAGTGAAAGCTGGGGCCGTCTTGACCTCAGCCAGGAAGCTACCTGGCCAGGTCCTAACCCGCGGCCCAGACCCTGGAGACTCGGGACATCAGCATCTTTCTCTCCACTTCACTTGCTTTCTACTGTGTTTGCATCTTTATTCTTGGGGAGACATTTGCCTTGATAAATGTGAGTGCTCCCAAGGCTAATCCCAGGCCTCTGATCTTCTGAGTCCCATGCTGACAAAGTTCCAGAGTCATTATGTACTTGTATCTGACCATGAGCTGTGGGTTTACACAGACCTGGCTTTGAGGATTCTGAGTCTGCCGGTTGCCAGTTTGAGAGGGTGACCATCTGTCCTCATTCCGTTCTTTCCCTTAATGTTTCATCTATTCTCATGTCCTACTCATGGTACAGCCATCTTTGTGCTAAGCATTCCTACTTGGAATCTTCTTTACTGTCCCAAATATAACCTCATGCTCCTTGAATCCTTTGCACCCTCTTTCTTTGTGTTAATGGAACCAGCAGTTACGGAACTATCTGTTAAGTCTCCATACTGAATCAGACCTCAGACCCTGTTGTTTGCTCCTCCGCAAACTCTAGTCACCAGCATCTTACCCTACTACACGATACTCCTTCTGAACCAGCCTTTATGCCACAGCCAGAATATATTTTTTCTGACTGACTTTGGCCAAAGCAAACTGTCAACTCCACCGCTACTAAGACTACATCAATGAACATTTGGTCAAGACAAATTCATTGTCCTTGGCCGGCTGTTCTTCATCTTCTGAGCTCAGCTTCCTCTTCCATTACCTTCTCCCAGAACTCTCCCTGTCAAGCCATTTCATTCAGTGTGTTTCTTTATTCAGCACATAGTTGTAGCTCAATTATAGGGTATTTATCCAGCACACATGAAGCTCTAGGTTCAATCCCCAGCACTCACTCTATACACACACCACACAAAGTCGCAGAATACTCACTGTGAGTTGCCACCTGCAGGCAGGACTAGGAACCCTAGACTCAGATGTGTTAGGCACAGTGACACATGGGGGTGAAAATATCCATGCTGAGAGAGAGAGAGAGAGAGAGAGAGAGATTAAAGATAATGTATAAATAGGAATCAGAATGACAATCCAACTCCTATCAGAAATGCTGCATGTTACAAAATAATTAAAGAAAGCCTTCAGAATTCTGAGGAAATCTTTTATCTAGAATACATTACTTAGCTATCAACAAATATAAGGGAACATTTAGACATTTTCAGATATTTTACCTCCTAGACACGCCCTCTTTTTCAGGAAGTTACTTAAGAAAATATCCTCCTGCTAAATAAAGGAGTAAAACCAAAAAGAGGAAGATGCAGAGGCAGAAAAGTAAAGAGTTCAAAATGGGAAAGTGGTGGATGAAGTCCCAGGATGCCAGCCAGCATGTCAGGATGCAAAAAGAGTGACCAATACAGACAGAGCCGCTGAGGTGGCAGTAGGGGGGCTCCAGCCAAGGGCAGAAGAAAAATAGAGACAAAATTACCAAAATTAATTCAACTTTATCATTTAAAACAGGAGCTGGGAAACTCCAGCCAATGAACCAAATCTTGTATGTCACCTGTTTTTATCAATAAAGTTTTATTGGAATACAACCATGCTCATTCCTTCCCAGACCATCTGCAGTTCATTTACATACCGTACAACATTGTTTCTCATTGCAACAGGGCAGTCAGCACAGCTGCCACAGACTGAACTGAAAACCCGAAAACCATTTATCAAATTGAGGTAGGAAAGAAAGACAGAAAATTAAGGAGCCGTTCACCCTACAATCTAGCTCAAGTCTCTTGCCAACTGAGAGTCAGGGATCCCAGCATAGTTAGCAAAATTGGCTATGAAGATTGCGTACATAGAAGACTCCTTTTGTATAAGATATTTTCAAATAAGTAATTAAAATAATAATGAATCGTGTTTAGGGCCTGAGCACATATGACTTTTGAGTCTGGTCTTATTCATTTCCCACATGGAAACCTAAACTTTTCTGGGAATTTCACAAACAAGATTGTAAATTTTGTTCACAGTGAAAATATACTCTAACTCCCTGTGAAGCCCTTATGACTTGGGTTTTACCCTATCAGCTATGATGCCATCCACCAGGGGACCACACTATAGCCTTATCTTAGCTCTTTGGCAAGTGTTTGAAAATGACTTCAGAAGCCACCAAAACATGGTTAGCACTGAGAAGCCCACCCTTGCTCTTGGCTGTGTAATGTTCTTTCTCTGAGTGCTTCTCTATCTATAAACCCCAAGTGTTTAAATCTATGTGAAAATCTCTTCTAGGTAAATTCCAACTCAGTGTCATACTGGTTCATCCCAAAATTCCTTTCTGCAAGAGAGTCAAGGATCTTAGATTCTCCCAAGAAGTCTCTGAAAAGAAGTTTTTAGGCTCTTCAGCAGTATGGAGTTGAGTCTCTGGTCTACTTCCACTGACAGCAAGGTCCTTTACAAAAAAAAAAATTGCCAACCTCTGATTTAAAAGTGGGAAGATTGCTGATTTGATGGAATGGGTTTAAAAAAAGATACAAAGAAATGTAAGAAAATAAAGGCACTATTCAGGAATAAAGAAGGAAATTTTAACTTAGGAAATATAAATTTTACAAGAAATGACACAATATAGTACATGAACAATTCGGTAAACAATATTTGTGTTATCATCAAAATATAGACTGATCCTGCACTATCCAAAGCTTGTGAAATAAATATTTGGAGAAGAGGAGAAATAAAAACAAGAATAAAATGTCTAAATTTTCATCTTCTGTAGCTAGAAGACACAGCTAAAAGGAGAAGCAGTTTACCCAGTGAGCAGGACTAAGTGAGCCGAAGTTTTAGTAGTAAGGATGATACTTGTTTCCATCATAAATCTGTTAGCATTTTAACTGTTCATACATACTGTTTTATAGAGTGCCAATTAACTTTCAAAACTACAGTGTCAAAAATGACAAAATACGATAGGTGATATGAATTCCCCAAACAAGTTTCCATGACAGGCAGAATCATGTTGGGGAAAACTACAAATTCATTTCTGCCTTCAGAGAATATAGCTCTAAGAAAATGAAACTTGAGTGAAAACTTGAAAACTAGCCAGCCAGTTGGAGAGGGAGACCCTCCAGAGAGAGAATAGAGAGAGGAGAGAGAGAGATACACACAGTGAGAGACAGAAGCAGACAGACAGAGAGACAGACCTGTGCAGGGTGAGATGGAGCACCACTGTAACTTAAGGGACTTGAAGTGACTGACATTGGCCGAAGGAGAAGAATGTGGAGGTAGAAGCCTTCAGGAACAGTGTAGCAAAGGCAGCAGGAAAAAGGTCATCATCTTATACAGTCCAGGACTACAATGAGGAAAAAGGTCATGGACAACATGTAAATGAACTACAGACAGTCTAGGAAGGAATGATCATGGTTATGGTCCAATAAAATTTTATCAGCAAAAAGCAGGTGACAGACAAGATTTGGCCCATTGGCTGGAGTTTCCCAGCCCCTGTTCCAAATGATAAAATTGAATTTATTTCGGTAATTTTGTCTCTATTCTTCTGCAGCTCTTTGCTGGAGCCCCACCACCGCTTCCGTGGCTCTGTTTATACTGGTCGCTCTCTGCATCCTGACATGCTGGCTGGCATCCTGGGACTTCATCCACTGCTTTCCTATTTTGGACTTCTTTGTTCCCCCCAAAAGCACATCACCAAACACTGCTGTTCAGCTTCAAAGGCAAGCCGAATTTCCATATGATCATTTGAGCAGATTTAGGAAAACGTCTTGAAAAACAGGGAACAGCATTTGGAATAACTTCCTTTCATAATGTCTAACTTACTTTCCTTTTTCCCGTGACAAAATACCCTGATAAAAGCAACTTAAAAGAGAGTTCATTTGACTCACTGTCTGAGAGTACAACAGTTCTCATCATGATATTATGACAAGAAGGTCCTGTCAGCAGGGTTTGGAGATCACATTGCATCTATAATCACAGCCAGTACACACATACACATAAAATAAAAATAATAAATAAAATTAAGGGGGCTGGAGAGATGGCTCAGCGGTTAAGAACACTAGTTGTTCTTGCAGAAGACACGTGTTCAAATCCCAGCACCCACATGGCAGCTAACAACTGTCCGTAACTCCAGTTCCAGGGGATTCAATGGCCTCTCCTGTCCTCCTCAGGCATTGCACGACATGGGTGCACTTACCTACACACAGGCAATACACTCATACACATAAAATAAAAATAATAAATAAAATTTTTTTAAATAATAATTTTTTTAACTTTTACAAAAACTTTATTGAGAATTTCATACATGCATATAAGGTGTTTTGATCAAATCCATGCCCACTCCCTGCCCTCCAACATTCCCCCCTCTGAAGAGGCAACCCTAAAATATTTTAGCAATTATACAAACTCTCAAATACTTTTGACATTTTTGGCCTTTGGAAAAGAGTATGTTGCTAACAGGCCCAAGGACATTTTGACTTTTAGCTAAGAAACTGGCTACATTTCTTTGGGGTCTTTTTACCCTAACTGCCTAGTCAATTCCTACCTCCTATTCTTATCATGCCATCTTCTGAAGGGGTTACCCAAATTGCCAACAGGGAATTGGGATGCAGACTGCTCTGGTGTCTTCCATGCTGAACAGGGATGCAGGATAAGGCAACTGGAGTACCCCTTCAGTAGGTCTATCTAAAAGACTCCCAAATTGCATAACTCTTGTCTCTAAGGGGAAAAGAAAGCCCTTGAATCATGAATAGTAGATGTGAAGGAGAAGTAAAGGCAAGGGTAATTAGCATTACAAGTTCTAGACAGGGAACTAGAAAAAAGTCAGAACAGGGCAATTTTCAAATGTTCATATGAGAGTCCACTGGAGTTTTTTGGCAAGGGCTGCCAAAAGCATGCCTCCAAGGCATGCTTTTGTCTTCTAAGGCTGGACTAGTTGGCTGGGAAGAGTGGCTGGATACTCAGGTGAGGGTCCAGTGACCCCTTGTCACTCCTTAATGAATGAGCACAACGGTCAACAAGCCCAATAGTGACTATGTTTTTCAATCAGGCTCAGCCGAAGTCGTGATGATGGTAGTTATTTCATGCAGAAGGGACTGCTGTATAGCATCATCTTATTCAAAGGACCTGGAATTTAAAAGGATTTGGTGCTAGGAGCCACACATCTGAGAGAACATACATCGTTTGTTTTCCTGCGTCTGTGCTACTTCACTTAGTATAACAATTTCTAGATCCACCAACTTACCTGCAAGTTTCATTATTTCATCTTTCTTTACTGCTGAATAGAACTCCATTGTGTAAATATACCATATTTTTGTTAGCCACTCGTCAGCTGAGGAACACTTAGGTGGCTTCCATCTCTTAGCTATTGTGAAAAGAGCAGCAACAAACATGGATGTACAAGTGTCTCTGCAATAGGATGAGTTCTTTGGGTATATACCAAGGAGTGCTATAACTGGGTCAAATGGTAGGTTCTTTTGTAGTCTTTTAAGAGTTCTCCACATTGTTTTCCATAGGGGTTGAACAAGTTTGCAGCCCCACCAGCAGTGGATGAGTGTTCCCCTTCCCCCACATCCTCTCCAACATTTGGTATCATTTGTTCTCTTGATCTTAGCCAGTCTGACTGGGGTAAGATGAAATCTTAAAGTAAAGGCATGTGCCACAACTTTTAAGGTGTTTTTTTTAGCCATCTTTACTTCTTCCTCTGATAACTCTCTGTTCAGATCCTTAGCCTATCTTTAATTATGTCACTTGTTTTCTTGATTCTTTATTTTTTGAGTTCTTTATATATTATGGATGTTAAACCTCTGTCAGATGTGTCATTAGTGAAGGTTTTTTCCCATTCTGTGGGTTTTCTCTTTCATTGTTTCTTTTGCTGTACAGAAGCTTTTCAGTTTAATGAGGTCCCACTTGTTGATTGCTGACTTTAATTCCTGAGCAATTTCTTTCTGATTTAGAGAATCCTTTCCTATACCTATATCTCGTAAGTTATTGCCAATATTTTCTTCTGTTTCAGGGTTTCCAGTTTCACATTGAGGTC